CCGGCTGGGGTTCAAGGAGACAGAAGCAGACATACAAAAAGCAGCTGTAAATAGCGGCCCCATCCAGGGAACGCACAGCCAGGCTCTGAGCCAGCTCCCATTTCAGAGGATGAAGAGAGCACATCCAGCCAGTCACAGTCAGAGAAACAGGACCACACTGGAAAAACAGGACAGCAGCACAGCTGATATTACTCTCCAGGGTGGTGTCACAGCCAAACAGGAACAGATGAGTTGAAGCTACTATGAAAAAAGGCAGAGAGAGCATAACGTTATAGACTGAAATAACAGATTCTGCTGAGTGGAAGAATAGAGATTGAATGAAGCAAAATGATGTTATATATAATGCCTATATATATAGGGAGGGAGAGAGAGAGAGAGAGAGAGACAGAGAGATGTGCAATATATATTTTTGTATACATGTATTAATATCTTAGTGTATAAAGTAATGAAAAAATTTATAAAAATGTATGAGTGGCTGTGCTATGAAACATACGTACATCCTATCCGAATACTCTATTAGTCTTAACCCCAGTAATTATATTTGAAACATTTCTTTGTTTTCAGCAAAAAAATAAATAAATAAAACCGTTAAATTTAGTTTAATATTCAGTGAGTTAAAGTTTATTAAAATTCATTCTGTTCCTGCTCAACATATTACACTGAGTGGAGCTGTCGACCTCCCCAAGATGGTGCCAACAAATCACGTACCTTCACATAGCCGAAATCTGTCGATGTGGGGTCTACTCTTATATTACGTCTATGATCAGAACTGTCAAACCTTGAGGTTTAGTAAACTGTTCAGTAGATTGGTTGGTAGCACTGGTCCTTTGCTGCATGGAGGTCCAGGTTAAAGTTAGGCCTGAAACAATTAGACTTAGACAACTTTCATTGTCATTTTGTATGGGTGGGCTCTCCTCCTCCTCCACAGGAAGTACATGCGTATTTGTGCCCTTTTGACCAGTGAGGTGGTGTTGTCAGTCCAGGTGAGGGTGTCTGTGATGTTCACCCCCAGGAATTTAGTGCTGCTTACCACCTCTACTGCTGAGCTGTTGATGAGCAGTGGAGCGTGGTTAGGCCGGTTCTTCCTGAAGTTGATGATGATCTCCTTGATCTCCACATTCAGGATCAGGCTGTCATCTCTGCCCCATTCCAACAGCTGCTCTACCTCCTCTCTGCAGTCCTGGTCGTTGTCGTCTCTGATGAGGCCCACCATCGTAGTGTTGTCTGCGAACTTCACAATGTGACTGGTGGTAAACCTGGGGACAGAGTCATGTGTCAGCGGGGTGATCAGCCAGAGTGAAGCCTGAGCTTAGACTGATGACATCAGAGGTTTTCTGTCCGACCCAGGCTGACTGAGGTCTGTTGCTGAGGAAGTCTAGCAGCCAATTGCAGGGGTGAGTATTGAAGCCCAGCTGTTCCAGTTTGCCTATGAGATGCTGTGGGATGATGGTGTTGAAAGCTGAACTGAAGTCCAGGAAAAGAATCCGCTCGTGGGTGTTCTTTTCCTCCAGGTGTACCAGGTTCAGGTGAAGAGCCAAGGACAAGGGCGTTTTCAGTGTAGTGGTTTCATCGGTAGGGGAACTGGGATGGGCCGAATGTTGTGGGTACACTGGAGATGATGTGTTCTTTAATCAGCCTTTCGAAGCACTTCATCATGATATGAGTAGCGCAACAAACCAGTAATCATAGAGTGAGGTGACCTGAAGTTTCTTTGGTACTGGAATGATGCTGGCAGACTTTAAGCATGCTGGCACTATAGATTGGTCCAGCGAAGTATTAAAAATTTTGTGATGACACCAGCCAGCTGACCTGTGCACTCCTTGTAGACCCGCCCAGGTATGTTATCAGGGCCTGGGGCCTTTCTTGGGTTGACTCTCCTCAGAGTTTCCTTCACTTCAGCTACGTCCAGGTATAGTGTCTCCTCCCCCTGGTGTGGAACGGTGTTAGAAATATTTTATTTATACTCCGTTTGTGTTTCATGGGTTGTGTTCTAATGAACTATTATGATGTATAATGTGTGATTCATCTTTTATTAACTCTTGCTTAAGATTGTTCCAGATAAAGGTCATGCAACGGACGGGTTGTGAAGGAGGCCTAAACATCCTCTATCACATGCTGGGTTGTAAAAGAGACCTGAACAGCCTCTATCACATGTTTCTTCTAAACA